TTATATGCTTCATTGGCCACTGACTGGAGATCCAGATAGATTACATAAACAGCTTATACTACCTACCGAAGTGACAAAAAGTCAGGCTCAGCTGGGGATTTAGCTCAGTGGCTCTGCTGTGTGCCTCACAAGCACAAGGTCCCAAGTTCGATCATGGGTACCACACACACACAAAAACCCCCGAACAACAAAAAGCTAAGCTCCACCTTCAGGGACAAAAGCTTCACTCCAACAGTCTAGTCTTATGACCTTGTTACAGAATGACAAGGAATATTATGAATCACATTATACCTCACAATTTATATCCGATGAAGTCCTCATGAAGCTTATTTTGACATTAAAGGTGGGGAGAGGAGGCTGATGCTGCTATAGGTAGCAAGAAATGTTAAAAAACATTGCACTGTACTAGGCTTTTGTATTTTCCAGAGTCAAAACTAAATACAAGAGAAGCAGGTATGTGGCCCTTTATTTTGCAAAGAGGCTAAATCATATTGCATTAGTTGTTGCTGATGAGGAGGAGTGCACATATCACCAGCAATGATTCCGGGCTATGTTATCAAATGACCACAAGTGCCTGAAAACAATTACACAAGTGAAAACCTAATGCTGAGCAAACAGAATAACCAAAGATGAGTCGTGGTAAGTAATTATGTATTAGGTTACACACCCTAGTTAGTATCTTACATCACTCATGTGCGATAAGATGGTAATAAACATAAATTAGTTTCCATTTGTTCACCCCAGAAATAATGTCTCCATTGGTAAAATATCTTTTGGTTTAATCACACAGAAGGAGAAAGAACATTCATCTGGATGTAGGTTTGTGTGGAGACTCTTACCAATTACTAGAAGCTTAACTGAAGCCAGGAGATGAAAGGAAGTTAGAGCACAGATCCTGAGCAGTTTCCCTAAAGTGCTAAGTTAGGCCTTTTGATAAACAAAGGGCCCAAATAATTAACTTAGGTAAACTATCAGGGCCTCAGGGAATACCAAGGACAGAGGACAGGCGCTAAACAAACTGAAAGGAGCCTTGGAAGGCTGAAATACCTGCCTTCTGGATATCAAAGCCCTGGCAACAACCAGCAGCCTTCCTGCATTCTGTCACATTTGCCTGTACCAAAAACTGTACAAAAGCACCTGTACTGCAGACAGCTAAGTTAGGTAGAAATACTATAGGCAGTCAGACATGGACAGGCCCTCAAGAGTCAGGGCAAAAGATGAAAACACATTATAACTGTGGCCACAGGTGCATCTTTTGGAGGCCAGGCCTCAAGATAAAGATGAAATGACCAGGCCTACATACTTCCCAAGGGCCCAATGAAGTCTAGATAGACGTCAGTCACCCCGGTGGGCGACCGAGACCTCCAGGGCCATTCTCTCCTACAGAAGTTTCTTGTTCTTTCCGTGTGCACTTGCTACGTGACCTGCTTCCCCACTGGATCAGTATTAGCTAGGCGGCTATACTTGTAATCTTATTGGTCGATCATAGTCTTCTCCCACGTTGTACCCACCTCGTGATTTTGCTCTGTAAAACTTCCTCTGTGAAGTGGGGTCCCCAGCAACCCATTCGGGTCCCCTCCTGTCTCTCAGGAGCTGTACCTTTCCCCCTCAATAAATAGTTCCTCCTCTTAACCTCCATTGTTCCTCAAGAATTCATTCTTTGATTTTGGGAACATGACATCTAGCAGGCTGGGAGTTATATTATTTCCCCTGTATCATTTGGATGTCTGTATCAGCTGGACTTGAGCATCTACGGTTTTCCCACTTTGAGGAAACCCGCTCTCTGACAGCGGGCAGGGGTCTTCTTCTAGGTCTTCCTAATAAACATGCGCTCAGTCACTCCCCACTACCTGTTTTGTTGGGCTCAATCATTGCCCAAAAACAAGGACAGAGAGCAAGACAAGGGGCAGGGAGCTGGTTCCAGGACCTTGGCTGATGCCTAGTACCGCTGGCCTGGCAGGCAGCTGAACTCCTCTCCGGAGACAGACCTCTGGCCGTGTGGCAACAGTGGAAGCTGAGAGGGCAACCGGGGGGGGGGGGGGCGTGGCCAGGGCGACCCCTTGGCGGGCACTCAGAGCTTCCTCAGTGGGAGCTGGACGCTGACAGCCTGATTGGGCAACCAGCAGAAAAATCTCCACGTGTCTACATCCCCACCTGCATCCCTCAGTGAGGGGAGAGGTAAAACTCTCTCCTGGTATCCCCCGTCCCAGAGGGAAGCCCTCTCTTAAGCCTACAGTAAGAGTTGAGCTGCAGGTTTGGCCTTTTCTCTCTCAGCTGGGAAGACAGACCCCTCTGCAGGTACACCTTGCATGGAAGCCCTAAAATGCCCCATGTGCAAGCTTTCTTTGCATTGAGAGATGGTGCTAACTTCTGCAAGCCACGCCGTACAGATTCAGCCTCGTTACAAAAGGACAGAGCTTCGAAGCTGGCTTTGTAGTAAGGAGCGATAGTAAACAAATATCCCATCTAACAATCTACGGCTCTTTCCTGTGCTAAGATATACTCTATGCAAAAATATAGAGTACTTAAAAAAAAAATGGTTCACAACTAATAGCATCAACATAATTGTGCTAAAATGTTGTGCTGAGCTTTTGATTTCAAATTCTCCCTATAAAAATGTAATACCTATTATCTAAAACTACTCGATAAAAGTTTGACTTCTAAGACAATCGTAGTTGCTCTCGCTTCAGTAATGGTACAACAGACTTCCTAGGGGTTCAACAACGAAGGCTCTGAGACCGATGCTAAATGAGTAACTAGGCTAAAAAACAACCGATATCTTGGTTCTGGCCCTCCAAGGTCCACGAAGACCCGGGACATGAGGTGGCCTTTCTATAGGACCCTATAACTTTGGTGAGTCACCCAACCTCCTGAGCAAGGAGACTGTCTCCAGAGGACAAAAGTCAACCGGTGTACATCGTGCTGGGAGGGGGGTCACTAAAGAAAACAATGTCCCCGTGCTTCCGAGAGAACCATACATGGACTGTGACCCATTCTGGCAGATGACACTGGCAGAGGAGCTAAGGGGCTCTGTACATAATCCCAAAAGTAACTCCTGTGAATCTTAACTGACCTTATGTACACAAGGTTAATTCTAATTAGTATTCTCACTCAAACCTGGTCTTAAACCAAGCAAGAAACTGTAATTAATATGCATAAAATACTAACAATTTAAATATACAAAAGGGTTCCAAGCCCTATATGCTGACAGTGTCCAGCTACACCGATAACTTGTCACTATTTTGGTTCAATAAGTTTAAAAAGCCACAATAATAGCTACAAAAGTTCAATAAAAATATCTGAATTACTGAGCTAAGATTGTCCTTCTATTCATTAAGTTTATTGGTACATTTTAGGTATACAATATGCTGACATTCATCATTAGGAATTTGTACCTTTACATGATGCATCTTGGTTATTTTTTTTCCCATTCCCCTGCCCTCCCTTCAACCACTCCACTCCTCCCTATTTACAAAGACTTTGTTTCCATTTTTTCCTTTTCTTATATTTATTTTTTTCCTTTCTTTCCTTTCCCCTACCCCTCCCACTCCTTCTAAAACACAGGGCCTTCAATAGTCTTACATTACAGTTAAAAATTTCCATGCTTACATAAAACTATCTCTAAAGAAGAAATGTTGCTTTTATGCCAATCTGTCTGGTATAACGATAAAACATAAAAATTAGCCAACTGTGCTTCAAAGATCCACCAAACATTATCTAAGTCATAGAGATCATGGTCAGGGATCTAAAATTTGACATTCTGATTACTCTAGCAGGACCAACATTAATGCTTCCTGTAGCCTTGATATTTAGACCATGTTTTCTCCACTAATCAACTCTGTTTCTTCTCACTTGACAACTTTAAAGCTACAAATGGTGATGCAAACAGACTCTCCAAAAAGCCCTCTTCCTGGCTTGTATTCAGAACCCGTAGCTAGGACTCACAGTAGTGGGCTCTGACTGTTTCCCTAACAATGGCCCCTCCCTTCATGGCCCACTGCACCCTGAAGACAGTCAGTGTCACTACTGTAAAGGAGGAATAAAGCCCGGAGATGGGGGGATTTAGGCAGCGAGGCCACAGGTCCTGAATAACTAGTTACCTTAAAGTAAACTAAAAGCTGGGGGCCCAAGTACATTAGCATACCAAAACAGACTGTCAGGATCTAATGAAATGCAAGAGACAAAGAAAAGGTCTTTCACCAAAAGACAGAGGCCTTGAAACAAATGGAAATAAAACAGCTTACTTTCCAGCTATCAAAGGCCCATCTACAGCCATGAGCGTCCCTGCTTTCTGTCAAGTACACCTGTCCCAAAGCCTGTACAAAACCCACCAGACCCAAACATCTACTGTGTCCGCCTAGGGAACACCCCTCTCCAACTAGTGGACAGCAGCTCCTTCGATTTTTTCTAGTAACAAACGCTTGGCCATTCCCCACCCCTGCTTGTTTTGTGGGCTTCATTCTTTATTGCCCCAAAACAAGGACCCAAGAGCTAGATCCAGTTACAGTATCATGATCTTACACTAGAAATATTACTAATATCACCTAACCAGAAGACTGAAAAAAGTAAAAATCCAGTGAGTTATGTCCACAAAAGTCCTTAAACTGGGAATTTTGTCACTGCAATTGATCACTACCGAAAAACAATCTGGTAACAGTAAACCATTCGAATCTTAGAATTACAAAAGGACCATTTACAGGGACAGCAAATGTGTACATTAGCTAGCAGTAGCTTAGAAGTCAACGTGCAGGGCTGGGGATGTAGCTCTGGGGCACAGGGCCTGCCTGGCAAGCAAGAGGCCCAGAGTTCGAGTCCTGGTACCAAAAAAAAGGTCAATGTGCAAAAGAAAAAGAAAGGTACTTGTAGAATTTTCTCTAGTTAACCAAAGGTAGATCATAATATACAGTATGTACAAATAAACGATAAAAATGTATTAATAAAGGGAAAGAATTCTCTGAAGTACATTTCAATGTCCCTATTTTACTTTTACAAATACTTACCTGTAAAAATAAGTAACTGGGCAGTACATTGTCAAACGAGGGGCTCAGATATATCGGTTCTGTCATTCTTATGCCTATACCTCTGAAAAACAGGAAATCTAACATTAACCCGTATCAATTACATAGCATACGTTTCTAGAACATACCCACATAGCATGTCAAGTATAAAAGGATCTGCCTTTTTTAGTTAACGCCCTTAGTTACCTTTTAACGCCTAAATACTTAGAAAAGTCTTGTGAATCAGTTTTGAATGTTTACCTCAAGTAGGAGAGGGCATCAGAGCTAAAAAGGATAGTGACAAAACCTGTTTCACTCAGGCACAAGAGTTTCTTTAGAGTTCTGGATAAATTAAAAAGCAAAAAGCATCTGATTATAGATTTGTTCTAATCTTTCCAGTAACCAATCCATAACCACTGTTATGACCTTTCCAGTGAAAAAACATTTTGTGTGTTGAATTTACAGGGTGTTATACTAGGTACCAGTATGAAAATTGAAAAAATACCTAGACTCCTGCTAGTGCTAAGCAATGACAGGCACAGTACCACTCTCCTCTCGTGCTACTAACTGTCCAGTGGTGACACAATCAGAAGACAATCTTTCCCACCGTGGACCCACTTCATGAGTGGCAGTGTTGCTGATAAAAGCTGGAAGGGCCAGGTCAAGGGTGGCATGGGGGACAGTGGTTCCTCCCTAAAGACAAGCACTGCAGTGTGAGAAAGGCGACCAGAGAGCATCAAGGGGAAGAAAGAACATAAACACACTGTCAGAGAAAGGCAACAATTTTTTTTTCAAAGTGGCTGCCTTCTACTCCCACCAACGAAGAAAACATTATTCAGAGCCTGGCACCTCAGTGCAATTCCTATGAGCCTAAGCCACTTGGGAAGCTGAGGCAGAAGGATTCCAAGTTTGAGGCCAGGCTGGGAAACTTAGATTTTTGTCTCAAAGTAAAATGAAAAGGGGCTGGGGACACAGCTCAAAGGTAAAGCACCTGTCTAGCAGATTATGAAGCTGTAAGTATTGGGGGGGGGGGGCGGGGGGAGAAAGAAAATGAAGGAAAGGGAAAAGAAAAAAAAGAGAAAGAGAAAGGGAAGGGGAAAGGGAAAGAAACAAGATAAAATTATTCAGCACAGTAACTGGAGCCAGGACATCGAGCAAGATAAGAAAATGAAAAGTGGGCCGGGGATTTAGCTCAGTGGTTTTGCCGCCTGCTGTGCAGACGCAAGGACCCGAGTTCCATCCCCAGTACCAAAAAAAAATAAAATGAAAAGTATACCAGTAATAATGACTAACCGTGGCAGTCAAAATACCAGCTCCTTATTACAGATGCAAAGATAAACACAGCTGGTATTTGCATAATCTTCATTTTCACAAAGCCTTCTAAGGAGAACAAAATAAGTTCTTGGCTATGTGTAAAGTATTGCCATCATTGGGCTGGGTCTGAGGGTCCCTGGGCTGACATAAGGAACTTAATTCACCTACCCTTTTAAAATAAGTTCCTAAGTTTGTCGACTTCTGTGGCAGAAAATGACTTTTCAGGATATATCCGTAAAAGGAGCATGAGGAAGTTTTATTACAGGTGGAGACAGGACACTCTCAAGAGCAGAGTTCGGGTGCTCGGGAAAACGAGACAGTTACAAGCCAGAGTGGAGCACAAGTAGAGGCTGTCTTCCAGATGGAAGATCTCGGGCATGCAGGAGCCAGCACCCCTCTGTATGGGTGTGGAGTGGAGATGCGCTGTCTCCAAAGCAGCTGCTTTCTGGGCTGCAGGAAAGGGCAATTTGGAGGCAAAAAGGGCCTAGCACCCTGGGAAGCACAGGTTATTTATTAAAGGCCTTTAAGAACTTACTACTATTTTCTGTGAGGACAGAATGGGGGGTCATGAGCTAGCATGGCCTCCAGAAGCAGGAAAAGAGCTTGTCGTGAAGCTGCAGTTTTTCCTAAAATATAATTTCTAAAATCTCGATTTCCTAGTCTTCTTTCTACTTAGTTTATTTTCTTCTATCCTACCTCATTGCTATCCAGATCCAGTGATTTATTTCTTCAGAAGAATTAATTTCAATTACACGGAAAAATTGCTGCAACATGGGAAACTGTTCCAAAGATCAGGGATATAGTCCAGTTCTGGACAAACAGAGTCCTTCTCATGTTGTTGCTGGCTGTTAACGTCAGAATAATGGTGCTGTCTACGGCCCGCCCAAAACAAGTAAGTAAAATATGAGCCTATGGGCCAGGGATTTAGCTCAGTGGTTCCACCACCTGCCTCACAAGCGCAAGGTCTCGAGTTCGATACCGGTACCAAAAAAAAAACAAAAACAAAAAACACCTAGTTTGTCTATGGATTTATTCAGAGCCACAAGTAGCTAGAGATGATTTAGAAGCAACTATATCTTAATTTGGCTTGAACAAATCCAAACATTCACTTTTGACCATAAATACTTTCATGAGTGCTGGCCTTCTGGTAAAAATATTTTAAATTTATATTAAAATTATAAATGTTTCTAATCAAAATGTTAAAAAGATCTAGATGCGTCATCTAGTTCATTCTCTGTCAAGATAAACACTGTTCTTCAAAGTTCAAATCAATAAAATTCACAAGGTAAATCATTCACAAGTAAAACCATTTAATAATTATGTTGTGACTAGTCTTAACTGGGCTTTTTAATCTCACCATTCACTCTTTTTAAACAAAGGATTTTTTCCAAAGCATCATGGGAATATGGATAAAATATTTTTCCAGTTGAATTTATATTAAAGATTTATTCATATAATGCAATCAGATATGCATTTTTACACTGTTTTCAATTTTCTTGAACCACAGAAAGCATGCTTATTTCTTTTTCTTTGGTACCAGGGATTGAACTCAGGACCTTGTGCTTGCGAGGCGGGCGTGGTGCCACCAAGCTACATCCTCGGCCCCAAGAATGCTTATTTCTCCCATGAAACTCGGTGACGTACCTCAGTCTGGGGAGTCCACTGAAGATTTCCTTGCGGCTTAGTGTAGAAATTCCATTTCCAAGAAATATTTTTGTGCCATCAAACTCTCTGGCTCCTTTCTTACATTTCCCTTTGATGTCAGAGTATACAGAAATAACATCTCCAGCTTTCATAACTAGAGGAAGGAGGAAATCGGGGTACACTAATCTGCCCTTCGGCAGGAGGACAGCGAAGTCTGAGTAAAAGGGGATCTCAAGGGACACCGACAGCAGATGAGTAGCAGTTCAAACCTGCCCCTTACATGTCTATGAGCAAGAAAACAAATTACTGAAAATTTTATGTGCATGCCTACTTGTTAATCCTTATCAGATAAAATCCTTATTGGCTCTATTAAATGCAAGCTTGGAAAATACCTAACAAAAATAAAACCAAAAAGCATCCCAGTTAAAATATAACAAACTTCCCATTTGATAGTACACATGCATTTTAGAACCCTAAAGCTCATAGTGCGTACAGCTGGACGCGGACACAATCCCTGGGGTGTAGACGTGGGCTCCTCTTAACACCGCGCTGCCACACTGGGCTCCCACGACGGCTTCACACTGCTGCCTTTTTATGTTCTTTCTAAGAATGTTAAGAAAAGAGAATTATTTAACAGAGTAACATTTCTCCACTGCTTACAAACTTTTTATTTCCAGTACCGGGGATCAAACTCAGGACCTTGCGCTTGGCAGGCAAGCACAGCACTGCAGAGCTACAACCCTGGCCCTACAAACATTTTCAATGTTTCAATACAAACTCTATATGAATAATATCATTAGTCTGGATTTTCATGAGTAAATGAAAAGAAAGCTGAAAAAATGAACAAATATAGAAGAAGAGTTACGAAAGGGAAAAAGGAAAACTTCAAGGGCCCGGGATTTAGCTCAGTGGTTCTGTCCCCCGGCTTGCAAGCTAGAGGTCTGGAGTTGGATCCCTGGTACCAAAAAAAAAAAACAAAAGAAAACTTCAAAAGAGGTCCATCTGGTGGAAGGCAGGAGAGTGGCATAAGAAACTGCTTCATTTAACAAGCATTACTTTTCTCAGAGCAATAAGAGAAAAACAGCCTTCCATTCTCTTCAAAGACTAACAGAAAAATACACAAGGAATTAAAAACATTTCTAAAGTGATAAATTGTTGTATGATAAATTACGAATCAACTGTGTTCCATCTTCTTTCATGATGTCCAATTATCAACTCTCACTAAACTTAACTTCCTGTTGCATTTTTTTTTTTTTTTTTGAGGTACTAGGGATCAAATCCAGGGCCTTGACACTACACTACACCCTCAGCCATTTTTTTCATTTTGAGACAGGATCTTGCTCAGGTGCTCAAGTGGGACCTGAGTGTGATCCTCCTGCCTCAACCTCCCGCGGTGCTGGGATTACAGGCATGTGCCACAGTGCCATTCTGTACCTACCTCAAGAGGCACAATCCTCCAAATCCAGAAATACGTCACTGTCTCCACTCACCATGCACTCTGTCCCTTAGCATCTCATGATTTCAATAATCATTTAAAATATAACTCACAGAGCTGGCGTGCTGGTGCACACCTCCCAGTACCCTGGAGGATGAGGTAGGAGGATCACTTAAAGCTTCAGCATTAAAAACAAAAAAGCACCAAGTCTATGTTTAGACTCCTAAACTCTGAAGTAGTATTTCTAACTGGCTGCAGGGAGCCACATATTGAGGTCCCAGTTACTCAACAAGTCAAACAATGATTTTTCTCTCAAGTCCTTGGAATGACCCCAAAACTTTTCATCATATGCTTCCAATTCTTACTGAGATAGCAAATTAGAAGTCTCAGAGCTATGGTCCGATGGTCTCTTCCAAAATTCATGGGTTAAAACTTAATCCTCAATGCAGTGACACCGGGAGGCGGCGTTCGGGAGGTGTGGAGGTGAGCAAAGGCTCTGCCCTCACGATTTCATACTGCTGTGAGCAGGGCTTTCAGAAATGTGTTCCTTCTCTCTTCCCTCACGTCCTCCACCGCTGGAGGACACAACAAGAAAGGTGTCACCACGTGCCTTAACCTTGGGCTTCTCCACCAACAAAACAGGAGGAATTTGTGCTTTATAAATCACTCGGTCTCAGCTATACTGCTATAGCAGCAACAAGACAGAATGAGACCCTCAGCACAGTGTCCAACCCCTTATTCCTAAACCCACACTGCGTCTGAGCCACTGGACCCCGCTTTCCTCACTCTGACAGATCCCTGGGCTCCCCTCAGACTTGCATCAGCTCTTTCACTACTGATCAAGCTTCCTGCCTCCTACCGTGATTGCTTTCAGATCTTCCTTTTGCCTCTTATGGTCAGCTAAAGTATCGACAGGTGGATTGTTTTAGTTTTAGACTTGTAATTCTAACACTTGTTTTTCACCAATTCCGGAAAATACTTAATCAGCACGTTGTCTTTATTACTGTTTTGCCCTCATTATTTCTATTCTTTATATCTGGGACTTATTAGAAATATGAAGAACCTTTTCTATTTTTCATTACTTGATTACACTTTCTAATTTCTAATTTTTTCTCTGCTCCATTCTAAATTTCCTGAGTCAACAACAAATTCAATAACTCTATCATTTGGGTCTAAGTTTAACCTATGGAGTGTTTCTAATTTTAATGACTTTTATTTCCCTAAATTCTCTATCAGTTCTACCTTTTTTCCTCTCAGGGCTTGCAGTTTTTTTTTTTTCAGATTTTGTTTTTAATTATTTAAGAAAACTGATTTATGGCCACTACTGGAGAGCTCTACTTGATAAAGTTTTGGGGGAAATCTACCTCTGCAACTTTATTGTACATGCTGATTTTCACTCGTGGTGGTCTGATTCCTCTTAATAAATGAGAAAGTGTATAGCTTGGTGTGTGTAGCTTGGATTCAAAATGTACCACTTCAAGCCAAGCATGGTGACAAATGTCTGCACTCAGGAACCTGAGGCAGGTGGACTTCAGGTTCAAGGGCAGCCTAGGCTATGTATTTTCTTCAAATAAACAAGGAAGGAGGGAAAGAGGAAGGGAAAGAAGGAAGAGGGCGGGACAGAAAGGGAAGAAGAGAGAAGACGGAAGAGAGAGGGAAAGGGAGAGAGGAAGGGGAAGGGGAGGGAAAGGAGAAAGGAGTTTACCACTCCAGGATGGTTCTGCTTGGTTTGTGCCAAGTACCTCAAGAACTACTGGGGACCAAAGTTTTACATCAACTTCCTAGACTGCACGTTCTAAGGCAATTCAAGTACTAAGAGTCTGAATTTCATGATATCATGATGTACAGAACCACAGTTCTGAACTCTTAATTTTTTTTTCTTCAACCTAGACCCTAAGAAAAGAGACTCGCTTCCACACTACAGCCTCATAGTGACTGCTGGACACCTCGCAGCCCTTGTCTTAACACCCTGTTGTTAAAATCAAAGACAGTAAACTTAGAAAACCAACCAGTGACCTCCTTTCTAATACCCCGAAACCCCCAGTACCAGCTCACATTCATCCCTAATGCCTAACTATTTCACTTATATTTTTAATCACTCAGTTATGCATTTTGTGGTCTATCAGAAACACATTCAGGTTATCTAGCTGACCATACCATTGGAACCAGAAGAGTGAAAGAGCTTCCTAACTTGGCTCTAGTTTTATAATTCATCGTCTGTGAAAAAAGTTGAGATTCTGACTGCAGTCTGATGTAACAAACACATTTAATACCACAGCCCACTACACAGACCTGTCTCTGGACACACACTTGTACTTATTACAAACATTTCATTAAACAATTTCACTATGTGAACTGTAATGACATAAAATACATGACTTACTTTATAAACTGGTCATTAAAAACCATTAAATTGATTTTACAACCCACTGATGGGTAACTATTACCAATATATTTCTAAAACAGATCTAATTATCACTGTAATAAAACTCTGACTCTTACAGTATTTAGGAGGGGGATTCCTTAGTTAAAAAATAATCCTTTATTTTCTTTATATTTCACAGCTTGCCTCTTCCAACTTCCATAGTCTAAACTTTTACTCATCCTTCTAAAAACCAAGTCAGTAGTGGAACCTGATCGCTTCTGTCGCGAAGCACCATTTCTAAGCCTTCATTTCTTCCCTTATGGTCTCTCTCTGCTTACACAACCTTGCCCACCTTATGCCATCACCCTACTTTCTATCATCTTCACGTTCCACTAAAAGAAGGTCAGCTTGGAAAACTCTTTACCCATTTCTGTGGACTCAGTCCTTCCCATTTTATGCTCCACTGGGATTTAATGTACACTTCTGCTACGGCAAGCCTAACACTGTGACCTGGACCAAGGTTCCCTGCCTTTAGACTGAACCACTGTGTCTCATTTGTCTTTTAAGACCCTTGCATCTTTCACACAGCACAAATTCACAAAATATTTTGCGAAATGGGATCCTGTAGTATTAATAAGGAGAAAAGAATGAACTCTGGAATGCACAACTGTGCAGAAAAGATTTAATATAACAGGCCTTGCCCGGCATGGTGGCACACACCTGTAATCCCACCACAGGGAGGCTGAGGCAGGAGGACTGCTGTGAGTTCAAGGCCAGCCTGGGATACACAGTGAGACCTTGTCTCAAAAAACCCCCAAAATGCAAATAAAACAAACCAAAAACAAAATACAAAAAAAAAACAACAGGCCTAAACTGCTACCCTTTGGAAGGGCTGTTTATAAGGCTGGCCCTTGACTGGGTGGGTTTGAGAATTTAGTTGACAGGACGGTTAACTACAGATATTCCTCATTTAATGACCTACCTGTTTAATGACTGTTTTGAGCTACGGCCTGCCTTTTTTGGGTACAGTTCTGTACATCTTGCCTACAGAGCCTCAATGTTTTTTGTACAGTACACCTGGCTTATACAGTACTGTACTGTACAGTACTGTAGTTTTGTGTTTCACATTACAGTGCTGCAAGAGTTATGAAAATAAAGCAAAGTCATCAAGTTGGAGTTTCCTTTGACCATGTCTTTGTTCCGAATATTGTAATGTACATACATTCCCTCATTTAGCGACCAATTCATTTAACGATCTAGTTGCAGGAACAGACCTCGGTCCTTAAAGGACAAATGTCTGTATTAACTGGTAAGAGTAGTTCATGGTGCCTAAACTGCTTATAAAACAATATAAGCAATTTAGTGTGGATGACAAACCTTCATCAAGATGCTCAATTTTTATGAACTGTGCTTACCAACACAGAAGCTATGCTTCGAGGAAAGGCCTGATAAAGGTACTGAGAAAACATGTCTCATCAGCTGTTGAGGTACTCTTTACCCACAGCATTCTGCATAGTTCTCGAGCAAACTGCAAACCAGAGTGCCAATTATTTCCAGTTAGTGAGTGATAAGCAGCAAGGGTGTGTTCAACATCCAACATGGACCCTATGCGTAGGTAGTACAAAAAAATTAAGCCAAAGATTGATAAAAAATGTACAGAAAAGGAAAAATTTCACACGTATCTTTGTATTTTCAAACAAACTAAAAGGACTTTGTTTTTTGTACCAGGGATCAAACTCAGGACCTTGCGCTTATGAGGCAGGTGGCAGAACCACTGAGCTAAATCCCTGGCCCACTAAAAGGACTTCTAAAAAGGGAATGAGAACAAAAAAATTAAAAATAGTGAACTAGAAGACTCAGAAAATAAAGGACAGCAAAGTGTCTAAAAGAAAACAATTAATTAGAAGCAGGGAGAGATATCAATTGCTAACACCTCCTGAGTATCTACAATGTGCCATTCACTATTCTAAACTCACAACAATCCTAAAACTAGAAAGTATTTTTAAAACCCATTTTAGAGAGAAGGAAAGAAAAGCACAGAGAACACAGACAATGTAGGTATTACTGAAGAAGAGAGCAACTTTTGAATCAGTTCATGACTCAACAAGCACAGACTCTGAACCGTTATTTCCATGTGGTGCTCATTTACTCGGCAGACACACTTACGCAGGTCCATAAACAAACATTTCAACACTTCTGGCAATAATGAAAATGTGGAAAAACAAGATAGGGTCAAAAATGAAAACAGTTCACCTGTTGCACAAGCGCAAAGACCCGAGTTCGATCCCCGGTACCAAAAAAAAAAAAAAAAAATGAAAACAGTTCACTGATAAAATATTCTATTTATGTACCTAGAATGAAATAGTGCTGTATAAATAATGAAAAATCATGAACAAGCAAAGATAAACAAAATATTCTTAAGTGAACAGAAAGGCAATTGTAAATATTATAGAATTTTTAAATTGTTTTATAAAAATGTATGCAAATGAATGCATGTTTGCATTCAAGTGTGCAGGTGAAAACACAAGGACTATGAGAATTCAAATTCAATGCTTAGAGAAACAGAACTGGGAAGTGTGATAGGAAATCTAATTGATAATTTTATGTTTAGGTAAAATTCTAATTTCTGAACAAATTTGCCTTAATTTTACAAGAAGAAGAAAAACCCAGTTAACTCTATTCATTAAAAGAGAAAATACTGGATAAGACTAAAGAATAAAGACATTTGACAGAATGAGAAGTGGTCACATTTTGAACCTAATCAACTACAATTCTGTATCCTCATCAAGAGTGTAACCTCAAAAGACTCATAATTGTGATCTACTATAGCAGCTCACTGGTTCAAAATTAAGAAATGACAGAAACTGGAACATCTGTTTCCCAGTAGGGCAGCAGAGTACAAGAGAATCTTCTGAGCTGGTGGAAATGCTCTACATCTTAGGTTATGGATCATGGTTAATCAACAACATTTATTTGGCAAACCTCACCAAAATGTATATTGAAGAGCTCTTCATTTTACAGTATACACATATCATACAAAAACTGAACAGAAAAAGTGGCCTACAAAATTGCTTTAGTGACAAAACATAATACATGCTCATATAAAAAATAAAACAATAATATCAGAAGTGAAAATTCTCCCGTGATTTACTTATCCCTTCACTCAATCCAACCTCCTCAGATTTAACCACTGTTAATAGCTGGGTATGTTGTAGCTTCCAAACTTTTCCTATATGTAAATGTAAATGAATATGTAGTTGTGCTTTTTTAATGCAAAACTAGTTATAATTATCCTAAATATAGCAATTTGCTCTTGATACTTAACAGATCATGAACATCTTAATTGTATATATAATTCTCTCATTGTAAAGGCCATAAAATTATTGGGTCTATGGATAAGCCATAATTTGTTAAATCATTTTTCTATTGCTGAGTACTAAATTACTTTAAAGCTTTAACAAAATGAGCATTTTAATATTTTTTATAATCTTTTTAAGTTTAAAAATTTTTATAGCATAATTAGGAACTTTAAAATGCTCCATGGGTACACAAATCCCATTAAAATGTGAAAGTATATTTTCTGATTTTCAAATATATGCCCTACCAATATATAAATGAGTAGAACAATGCCAGGTACACAGAAATTTAACATAATTGATAAATTAATAAGTTTATGAACACTTCAGCTATGAAAGCAGGAAATATGTTCCTTTGTAGTTTTGTTGCACCTCAAAAAGCAGTTTTAATTTAGCACTGAAATCTCATAAGAAATATAAACAAATGAAAGAAAAATACATAAAGTGGAAAAAATATTAATCACTGCATTATTTAGGCCTAAAATGTATTATGCTCAAGGTACTGAGGACCATTCCTTGTCTTCTGTATTTTCCACAACAAAACATGAAGCCTGCATTTATGAACCTGTTTATAAAGTTGCTAACAACGGATGAACTCAGTATTATCAAACATTAAAAAAAGATCCTGTGATAGATTTTTATTAAGAAAAATATGATTTTAAAATGAAATAGTCACAAACCTAGGTCCAATCACAGGAATAAGTAAGACATCCTGAAGGTCTGGATGCTGAAGAACAGGAACACTTAATCCATTAAACTGCTGTTAAAAATAAACATACAGAATTATAAAGCATTCAATATATTTGATAAATTTCAATCTACTGAGTTTGTCAGTGTCACTATCTACCACAGCAGGAAGCTTGGTTTAGGCAATCTCATTTTATTCCATAGAAAATAAAAATCAAAATATCTCAAAACATTTTCTCTCCTTCTGAGGTGTTATGGTCTACATCTAAAATTTCCCCCAAAAGTCTCTGTGTACTGCTCAGAAGAGACTCATCCCTTGGGGGCATGAGCTCAAAGGGTATGTTTTGTCCCTGGGTCTTCCCTTCTCTCTCTGCTTCCTGGTTGCCACGAGTGGAGCAGCATTCATCCACTATGCCATTTCGGCCTCGGAGCCAGCCAACCACTGAAACCATGATCCAAATAAATCTCTCTTCTAAGTTGTAGGTGTTGGCTATTATATCTACTAATGGGAAAGCCAACTAACATGGAAACTTGGTACCAGAAATAGGGTTGTCACTGTGATTGTACTTGACCATGTGGTTTAGAAGTCTTTGGAACTGGGTTGGAGGAGAAAGATTTAGAGGTGCCAAGTAGAGAAGCCCTAGACTGCTGTAAGTCAACCTTGATGGGTGATTCTGATTGGAGCTCAGAAGACCAGGACACTGATAGCGATGCAAACAGTAAAGACTAGGCTCAGGAGGTTTCAGATGAAAATAAGGACTGTACTGGAAACAGGACTAGGGGCCATGTATGTTTCATTCTGGGAAAGAATATGCCTATGTTTTGTCCACGTCCTAAGACTTTGTGTGAGGCTAAATTTAACACATTCACAGCTGGGCCATAATTCATATTTCTTGATGCCAGGCAGCTCTGATTTGAATTCCATCATCTGATGTAAAATACCTAACCACCCATGGTTCAAGCTGCCCAACAGAACAGTCACGTACATACCACCAGTGGTTTAAGCCATGGGAACGTGAAAGGTAACAGATGAATTGATTTGGTGGAGAAAATTTCAAGGCAACCCAACATTCATGCTGTGACATGGGTACTGCTGGCTGTTTTTAGCCAGATCTACTGTGAGAATTAGTCGCAAAGAACACAGCGGGGCAACTTGGGCAAAAAGGAAGCACCTATAAAGCTGAGGTCAAGAATAGCTTGTTTGCTGAAAAAATTAGCATCAAAAAGAAGCCAAGTACTCTGCATAGAGACAATAGGAAAGATGCCTCGAGGGCATATTAGGATAGGGCCAGACCCTGACTTATTGCCTGCTTCAGGGTGTAAGAAGACCCTCTGAGAGACTTTAAGAGAGCTCCAGAGCATCCTGCTAACTCAGGGCCACCTACAGAAATGTTTCCCTACTTTAGCCATCCAAACACATGGAGGCCATTGCACCCATGGTTCAAGGGGGCCAGGCTAATACTGCAGCCAGCAACAGACACTGTCATCACCCACATGGTGGTTTTTAGCCAAACAATATAGGAGAGTTACTGGGTCACAGAAGCACCTGCCCAGATTTCAGAAGAAAGCCTGGGATGCCAGGCAAAAAAAGTATGGCAGTGTCACAATCCACGTCAGATGCCCCGGAGAGGGTGATGTGTAAAGCTGTGAGAGTTAAGGCAAAGGTGTAATACAGACCTCAGGAAGTTATAGATGACATGGATTCTCTGCTCAGAAAAGCCACAAACAGCAAGCAGGGCCAGCTCAATAGAGTGGGAATGTGGGCTGCAACCAGCAAGGCCAGAAGAATCAGGGTGGCCAAATCAGTCCTTTGGACCTCACTTCTGTTCAACCTCTGCCCCAGGTGTTAGACATGGAGCCACAGGATTTAATGTTTGCTCTACTGGTTTTTTGTCTTGCTTTGGTCTGATTCATCTCTATGGCCTCATTCCTCCCTCTTGGAATGGAAATGTCTACCCTACATTGTATGTTAGAAGTTAGCTTTCCTTTTGATTTTTACAGGAGCTCACTGCTAAAAGTTTGCTTTGAGTTTCAGGGGAGACTTTGGACTTGGACTTTTCAGCAATGCTGGAGCTGTTAAGATTTTGCTTACTCCTGGAGATTAAGTGCATTTTCCAATAAGGAGACAGACATAGGCCTTTTGGGGGCCAGGGATAGAATTTTATGGTTTAAATCTAAAGTGTCCCCCAAAAGTCTCATGTGTTTGGAGGTAGGCTCTGGTTGGAAGAGGTGGGTCACGCGAGGCATGAAATGGTAGGGTATATTCTGATCCATATCCTCCCTTCTTTCTCCCTTTGCTTCTTGGCTGCCACAGATTGAACAGCTCTCCTCTGCCTTAGAACCAGCTAATTATGGGCTGCACTCACTGACACTGAGCCAAATAAACCTCTTCTCCTTTAAGTTGTATTCAAGGGGTACTATGTCTAGCAATGGGAAAGCTAATACATAAAGTATCCTGACTTCTAAGGCTCAATTTTGTTGTTTGGCTTTATAAACACTAGCTATGTTTACCTTAAGTAACTTACTATGAAAACTATCCAATGGTCAGGGGTAGTGGCACCCACCTGTGACCCTAGCACTTGGGAGGCTGAAGCAGGAGGATCACAGGGAGTGTGAGGCCAGCTTGGGCTCCGTAGTGAGTTCAAGCCAGCCTGACCTACATAGCAAGACCCTGTCTCAAAAAACAAAAAACAAAAAAAAAAAAAGAAAAAAGATGCAATACAGAATTCCATGTAGAAGTCACTTAAAGAATTTTTCTGAATAGAACATTAAAGACTGGAAGTACTGAGTTCTGTTTAATACACACCATTAACACAGAAGCCGCCTCAATTTTGGTGGGACAAAAAAAGTTATTAGCAGATTCAAGATTTCAGTACCCCCGTCAGTCACACTTGGCTGGCCAGACTGGAGAAAGGTGCAGAGCTAGTGCTACAGGTGCTGGCGTCAGCTCACATAGGCTCATTGTGTGTACTCAATTCCTCGGTCATGTTGGTAGCTTAAAATCAACCATAATGGGAGTATTTACACCACAGACAATGGCAAAACACCACAAATCAGGGTTATTTTTCTTGGAAAAGGGGTTCTTATAAAGTATTAGCATATCAATGTTGGAGCAGAAGTCAAAGAAGCACCCTATGTAGCAGAATAAAGAGCAAGCTAATGGAGGATTAGATAATAGAGACCAGACATACACCCTGAGAGGAAAACATGCAAATATTTAAGAAGTCTATGCCATGTAGGCTAGGATTTATCAACTAATTTTTTTTTGATACCACATGCCACATGAAAGACTAAATGCACTGCTCTGTAAACTATCTAGAAAAGCTTATTAAATCAACTTAAGATGATAGAGAAAAAAATTTCCATATTTTAATGGACCTACATTTCTACAAAATCAATCCCTTTCCTGACTTCTTCCAGAGGATATTTCAGAAGGTAACCATACCTAACACACAGCTAATAGGCAATTTAAAAAGTTCCTCCTCATTTGATCAAACTCCTCTTCCCCTTCCTCCCTGTTTTTTGTTAGCCTTTTATTAACAGCTATAGCAAACAGATCTTTTCTAGTTACCCATCTCCTTTTATTTTTCAGATAACATCTCACTAAGTTGCCCAGGAATGGCCTCAAATTTGTGATCCTCCTGCCTCAGCTGCCTGGTAGCTAGGATAACAAACTTGTACCAGCTCCAAATGTTTCTTACAGAAATCAGTTCTTCTCAAGCTAAGGGCTTTCTTCCCTACCAGGAGCATTTTAAGATCATACACAAATAACTATTATTATCTGCTTTTTTTTCTGTTTGCTTCTGCCGTCTATTTTTTAAACAGCCTTACTGAAGTATAATTTACATAACAAGAACTTCACCAAAATATTAAATGATTTTTAGTAAATTTAAAGAATAGCACAAATTTATCAGGATCCAATTTGAGATCATTTCCATCACTCCACTAAGATCTCTCATGCCCATTTGAGGTCAATGCCTGTCCCGTTCCCAGTAATCTTTCTCTATAAAATTGGCCTTTTCTGGACATTGTATATAAACAGAATACATGTGGTGTATCTTGTCTTGCTTCTTTCACTTAATGTTTTGGAAGTTAATCCATGTTGTAGCATCTCAGTATTATTTATAATGCAGATGTATTTCACTGCATGAATACTCTACATTTTATCTGTCACTGGTTGGTGGATATCTGGATTGTATCCCCTTTACTATAAATAATGCCACTATAAACATTCACATTCAAGAATTACTATGCATTCTCTTGGACCTCTTCCCATTTGCAAGAGATCTATTCCACTGTCTCCTAGCCAACCTTTACTGTGCTGTTTGTACTTTGCCTCACTCAAATGAGATACTATATGTTAAGCTTGTGTATCTGGTTTCTCTCAACATTATATTTTCCAAGTGCATCCATTTTCCTACAACTGTCTCAAACTTGTCCTTCTTTATAGCTGAGTAGTATTCCACTATGCACAGATGCCACATTTTCTTTATCCAACCGTCTGTTGATGGATATACAGGCTGCTTCCAGGATTTTTTTTCCTTAAATTCTTTTATCAGTACATTTTAGGTATACAATAAATCTACATTTATCACTGAGAACTTGTACCTGTACATAACATATCCTGCTTAATTTTCCCCCCTTCCCCTGCCCTCCCTTCACCCCCTCCACCCTTCCCTATTTAGAAAGACTTTGTTTCCATTTTTCCCTTTCCCTTCTTTCCTTTCCCCTACCCGTCCCACTTTCCCTACACCTTTGGACATTTTCTTCCTATTTCACATTATCAATTATTCACTTTAATCCTTATTTACAGTTTCTCACACCAGAAAATCTATTGTTTTCATACATGTTTGTCCTATTTATTTCACTTAAGAGTATGGCTTCAGTGTGCATCCTTTTAGCCATAAGTGTCTCCAGTTTCTTGTTATGGCTGAGCAGTAATCCATTCTATTAAAAAAAAAAAAAAAAAAAAAAAACCACATCTTCCTTACAGGACTTAGTTATTAACTGAGCTCCTAGAAACACTGGTGTACATGCATCACTGTAGTATACTATTTTTAACTCCGGAGAAGTTACCTAGAATGGGAGGATGAGGGAAGAATTAAGGCCTAATTGGCCTAAGTGACCATAAAGGAGAAAGACTGCATGCAAGGGTGACTGCATATTAGGGGAAAGTTAAGACAGTTGAGGTTAATTTGTTTACCAGAGAATGTACTAACGGATATTGGAAACCAGATGAATTGCATTACTTTGATTGTCTGGCCCATGTTTGCGTGAATAAAAGCTAGGTGAACCAAAAGCTCCTCTGCCTGCTGAAGACACGGACTCCTGGCTGCCCCCCCCCCCGCCCCCCCGCTCCCCGCTCCCCGCTCCCCGCTGTTGAGCTGACTCAGTGTCTCTTTATTACTCACCACCCTCATTTGCCCCCAGGTAAGGAACAAAGTAGCAGCTCTGGGTCCTCCAGCAAGGCCAGCTGGGTGAGCTGACACAAGTGGTGCCCCAGCATGAGCTGGGGACCTGGGGTCTAATTTTAGTTCTTTGAGCAATTTCCATACTGACTTCCATAATGGTTGTACTAGTTTATATTCCCACCAACAATGTAGGTGAGGTGTTTTTTTTTTTCTCCACTGCAGCCATACCAGCATTTGTTATTTTTTTTAATGATCAACATTCTTTCTGCTTTAAGATGGAACCTTAGTATTTTTTTAATTTGCATTTTTCTAGTGGCCAGGGATGCTGAACATTTTTTCATGTGTTTGTTGGCTATCTGAACTTCTCTGAGAAGTGTCTGTTCTTTTCACTTGCGCTTTTCTTGACTGGGTCATTTATTTTAGCAAGAGGTCAAAGAGAGCATCAGCAAGAGGGAGCGCATGGAATCAGCAGAATAAAGATATGCCATGTACAGGAACCTATTAACCTAAATGGATATAAACAGTATATGTCATAAACATAAGATTAATAATATCAGCAAGGGGCCGGGGATTTAGCTTAGTGGTTCCGCCTCCTGCCTCAAAAGCTCAAGGTCCTGAGTTTGATCCCAGGTACCAAAAAAAATAACGTCAGTAAGAACAAAATTGAGAAAGGGGATTTAAAGGTAGAGGGAAGGAGGAAAGCAGGAGGGACAGGAAAGGAGATTGAAAAAGAGAATCAAGCTATATTATGTTCCTATTCCCCAAGAGGAGTGTAAACTACATGTACTGCAAACATGGACTAACAAAAACAAAAGAAATTGTGTAGACATATGACTACTTCTTTTTGGTAAATTCCTAGGAGTGGAATTGCTGGGCTGCCCAGTTAAGTTTTGTTTAACCTTTTAAGAAATTTCCAAACTGGTTTCCAAAGAGATCATACTACTTTGGACTACAAACAGGGAAGTATGAAGGTTCCAGTTTCCTTCTGTCCTTGCAGCCAAATGAAATGTACAATTTTTCAATCCCAATAGGTGGTTCAAACATCTTTGAGGAAAAAACACCTAGTAGTATACCATTTGGGATGTCTCTTTACGACATACATGAAATTTTGAATGTGGAGAAACAAAATTTATTTAGTACTCTTCCAAGTCTCCTTTCCTGTTAGATTCAGGAACTGCTCTACTACAGTTTCCATTCCAATCTTGACCTTTGGAAAGGAACTAAAAACCCAGAGTGACTTAACTTGTCTGCCCTGACTCTGACCTGGTTCATGAGATCTTACATCCCCATCAGACTGGTATACTAGAATACCCAAGTTCTACAAATAATTTGCTAGATATGAAAATTTGGACATACACACCTGATTCCCCTCTGCACAATTTTTAAAAATAGATTTTAAAATAGATTACTCATATTCTATTTCCTTTATTAAGGACAGTAAGGTACTTCAATATCGACCTAATTAAAGTATTGCCCTTATCACAGTACATAATCTGTGCGAATCATTATATTATGAAATAACAGACTTTAGTTCAGAATGACCCTTGTCATGTATATTTTAATGAAGAAGTGAGACTCGCAGGACTCAGAAACTTAAACTTAATGCATTCAGAATAAGAAGTTGTTTCAAGTTCTAGCATTATCACTGCGTAACCCTGTACAATAAAATGTTCATGGGTCTCAATTTCCTCATTTATAAAATTAGAATATAACACTCATAGGATTTTAATGAGGCACAACTAAAACTATAGAAATCTAGTTGAACATAAAACAGTCACCCAAACCTGCTGAAGTTCATCAAGCAACAGTTCTTTCACATGCTGAACTGAAGCTAAATGCGTATTCACTCTAACGGTTGTGAATGACGGAGGGTGTGACAGGTGATTTAACAGCGCTTCAAACTTCCTTTCTGCGGCTGCTTTGCCTGAAGCAGATACCACCTGAAAAGAGGACAAGTTAATGTTTTTCTTTCATCATACAAACTGAAAATAATCAGCAGCATATGACTATGCCATTTGTTCCATCGAATGAAACACCTGTTCAGCTCCATTTCGTTTTGGGGTATCTTTTCTGTTAACCCTAAGGAAATGGTAATACTTCACAGGGTTTTTTAATTCAATTGTGGTAATAAACACATGCCTGACATAAAGGCTCAGAAAAAGTCTCAACTCCAAAGCATTAACTCCATTAACATTTTGAAAATATTAATATCCACTACATTTATTCATATAAATTCAAGATCTCATTCTACTCATTTTTATATGTTACCTATTCATAGCACTTTTGTAGAGCTATTCACAAACATATACAAAAGCAAACTGGTTAGGAGCCTTTTGAAATACCAGTATTTGAAGTATAAATAATATCAATATACTGTCATCCAAAGATTCCCCAAGACATCAGCTTTTTAATATGGTTTTATTAAATGTAATAAATATATATGATCCATAAAAAGATGGGTACAGTAACAAACACATCTTTCATAAATGAAGGTATAAAGACTCAACTAGCTTCCCTTGTAACTGAAGCTTTCTAAGTACATATTGTTTTGAGGTTTTTGTTTGTTGGGTTTTTCTTGAGACAGGGCCTCACTTTGTAGTGCAGGTTGGCCTGGAACTTGCAGTGTTCCTCCTGCCTCAGCCTAAGGACTGGGATTACAGGCATGTACCACCACGACTGGCTCAAACATGTATTTTCCCCTTTGGGGACAATACCCTGCCTCATAGAATCTTTACACACCACTTATCAGCCTACTAATCCACCAGTCTGCACATTATTTACTTTTGCAAGTTTTAGCTAACACTCAATATTTCTCTTCCTTCATGCTGTTTCACAAAGGGATGGCTTTCCTTCTTGTAAAATCATATAGACTGTGGGTTTGAAAAGGGGGTGGTGTCAAAGAAAGACATTTGGATCTTTTATAAAATAACGTTTATCATTTTCAAAACTACTGAAGCAGAGCACAGTGGTGAATGCCTATGATCCTGACATTTGGGAGGATGAGTCAGGAGTATCACGAGTTAAAGGCCAAACTGGCCTACTCAGCAAGTTGAGGAACAGCCCAGACTACACTGAGAGACTGTCTCCAAAAAACAAAAGTAAAAAAAAAAAAAGCAAACTCCACAAAAATGATGGAAATAAATGCTGAATGCAGACATCATATCTAAAAGACCTGGCCTCCAAAACAGATTCCAAAACTGAGTAACATTTAATAAACACCTAACAATAATACGTTTGGCATAAAGGGCCTAGAAACCTGACCAGAAACCAAAGCGTCAGAAAAACCCAAGCTGGCTAGAGACGGCGTGGTAACGTGGAACGGAACCCAAGCTCCACAACAGACAATCAACACTCACTGAGGACTCTTGGGATAGGCACTGCCAGTAGCAAAAACCATGTGACAGAAACGATGCAAGTCACTTTCACTTACATTTGACACCTGAAAACAACTGTATCTTCAACCATCCTCAATTTTCACAGAAGCGGAAAATCAAAGTAATGAGACGTAATTTACTCAAAAACCTGGAACCCAAATCAAGTGATTGAGAGTCTAAATGTGCATTTCTTTTTCCCTACATCTGAGCCTTTTGGCTTCAGATTTCAAGTTGAGAACTATGCTAATTGGATTAGTTACGTGATTTATGGCCCTGACTTCTCACCTATTAGAAAGTGCACCAAAAACGTCTGTGAAAAATCAAAATCTAAGTGTGAACACAGCTGGCAAAAAATGATGGCATTTACAGAGGCACTTGAGAAATTACGGTATCCTTTTCACCTGAATGCTGGAGCGAGCCATTTAAGACAACAGGTGTATCTTATACACTGGATTTTGGTTAAAAACGAGGATCTTGTTCATCCTATAACTCCTTCACTGTTAGTTTTTCCTTCTTCCCTGCTCCTAAATATTAAAACGTATAGCTTATTCACCTCTTGTCTCAGAAGGCATTTGTGTCTGTGAAAAGATAATTTGGTTTCACCTTCGGATAGACAAGTGGTAAGAAACAAAGGCTGTAAAAATTTCCCGTTAGACATTTCTCTAGGACGTGTAAATATTTAAATTTTCGCAAATATTAAATGTTTATGACCTACCTCGTTATTCACAAAGCCCTCTTTAAGATAGTTTTCAACCTCAGGTCTTAAAGATATTTTAGGAAAAACAGGCATTGTTTCCTTGTTTAGTTCTCCTTCGAGGGAGATGCTGGGAATGCAGGTTTTCTTTCCAAATTACAGACAGCACTGTCTTCCCAATGAGAAGTCACCCACAGGCTCGCGATCACCAGGCGTCCAGGGAGGGGCGCCGCTCACGCCCAGCTAAGCACGGACACGCGCGGAACCATCCATGGTTTTGGAGTTTGCGGGACGAGAAGGGGCTTCCGCGCCTCGACACCAGGCTCTGGTCCCCTGAGGATGCTCAGGGGAATCACTGAACTGGGAGGCAGTCACACGTTGCAGAAAGAACCTAAGAAAAGCCTTAGCGTTCGAGTCCCTGGTTAACTGTACACAGCTGGAAAGCAAGGAATCACCAGCTCCGTCCTCCCCGACCTCACATCCTAGTTTCCAAACCCGCGCCCCTAATTTCTCCGCGGAAAGCCGCTTCCCTCTACGTCACTTCCGGCTCCTTCGGCCCGCCCTTTCCCTCTCTAGCAAACCAATCGGCAGCCGCAAGTAGCCGTAGGTCACGAAGATCTGGCGTGCTCTGGGGGAGCTTTAAAAAGGCAAGAACCTGTTGAGGGTAAGACGCTGCTGTTCTGATTAAGGGGACGTGTCCCATTAGCGTCCTTCTGGGTAGCCTCCAACTAAAAGTTGAGGGCTGAATTTACTTGGGATCAGCCACTTTGGGATTTTACCCAACTATTTTGTCGGGAGTACAGATCCGACTTCAGTTGAGAGTGACCAACAGACTCCATGATTTTGAAAGTTAGGTTCATGGTGTTGTAATATCCATGAATGCTCAGGTGAAACTTCAAATCCACATATAGGATTTATATTTGTAAGGCTAAGGGCTACTTGTATCATGGTTGACCTACTTAGTGTAGTAGACCATTGACATAATCTGTCATGGTCAGAGGACACCTGTCAGAGCAGATGTGGGAAAAGATCTCAAATGAAGTCACCTAACTAGTCACTGAGCCATTTTATGATTGGACAGGAAAGTGAAAGTTCCTGTCTCCTTGGCTTAGTGTTTTGCTTTGTTTTGCATTGCCCCATGGCCATTTGCATATAATTGTAGGAAAGGGTTTATTTTTTCGTTAATTTTCACACGGATTTTTTTAAAGTATGATAGCTCCTTTCTGTGATACACCAACTCTTCACCAGTTTCTGTAGAAAACTACTGAACACAGCCATTATGTCGCATATTTTGCAAGGTAGTTATTACTATCTCTGTTTTAGAGATGAGTAAACCAAAGATCCCAGAGCTGAAATAACTGTCCCATGTTCTCACGAATAAAAAGGCTAAGGATGATAATTTGGCTTCGAAAGCCAGCATCTTGTCTTTCCACCACAGTGCATTTCTTCAGTAAATGGATGGGATTCTTTTATGTTCAAATCACCTGAAATCAATAAAGGAAATGTCTAGACCTAATTATTTCCAGAGGAATTTTGGCAGCCTCGACTTTGGGGTGACCTTAGCACCAGTAATGGTTGGGATCTGTATTTGATAGGAGACAGTAAAGAACAAGTTGAACTAGCTTGTAATTCCATGAGGTCAGATTTTATTTCACCATTGTATACCCAGTACCTAACACACAATAGCCACTTAAATACTTATCAAATAACTAAATGAACACGAGTGGACATCTTTATGAAGTAGAGAAATATTATACTACTGATAAAGTATGTATACTTACTGGAAATTAGTTCACTAGTTCAGCACACTTGGATAGTGTTGAGGACATTCAGATGGTCTCCCCTCCTGGGAAATAGATCCTTTTGCTCACCCTCCTGCTGACCCTCCCTACTTAAGGACCCCATCCACCCACTCACCCATCGTATCCTAAGCACCACTTGAATGCTCTATATCTTCGCAATTGTTAAGAATTTGACTTTTGTTTGACACCAGACTGCTAGGGTTCAAATTCGTTCTTGTAGCCTCAGGCATATTATTAAAAGTTCTTGTACCTCATTTTCTTTACCTGTTAAACAGATAATAGTTTTGATGTCATAGTGTCACAAAAAAGTAAATTAGGTGATGTGCTTAGGACAGTGCTGAACACGGTCCTCAATAAATGTTACATAGTATTGTCACCTATGTGTTGAAAGAATGGCTGTAGGATAGTGGAAGACAATTGAGGAGGGAAGAACTAAACTGACTCAAATTCTGGTATGTCAAGAGGTAAGTTGTCTATCTAGGGAAGGAAGAAGACTTCAAGGGTTTAATGAGTTATTTGGAAATATGTATAAGAGGTTCCACTTTAATGAATGGGATTATGGCAAAGGGCAGAGGATGGGGTGAGTTACAGATGTTTCTAAAGAGGACCTAGAAAATTCAAGAAATTCAATCAGCTTCAACACCCTTCTGTAAGTAGGTAAATTTATTAGCCACTATGACTGCCACTGAGCAAGGTGAGAGAATCAGCAGATCGCTAAAGGACTTGATAAATCCATTGAGGTATCTGTTGGGAAAAGCATTTACTAAATGTGGGAAAGCTGGTCATATTGAACCTAATGTGCTGAAAAGATGTTCATTCTCAGTGATTATGACCAAAGTCACAGATTCAAGGATACTTCAATAAAGTAGATAGATGGTTTGAAACTCAGGATATGATCAGTCCTCTTTGTGAACACAAAACATCAGAATTTTATCCACATACTCTCCCTACTGTCAGGAAGGCCACATTGTCTTTTTTTTAATTTAAGTTTATTGGTACCTTTTAGGTATATAATATGACATTCATCATTGAGAATTTGTACCTGTACATGATGTATCTTGGTTTATTTTTTCCCCATTCCCCTGCCCTCCCTCCCTTCAACCCCTCCACCTCTCCCTAATTACAAAGACTTTATCTCCATTTTTCCCTTTTCTATTTTTTTCCTTTCCCTTCTTTCCTTTCCCCTTCCCCTTTGGACTTTTTCTTCCTATTTTACATTATCTATTATTCATTTTGGTCCTTTTTCTTTTGTATCACCTATAGTCTCTAAAAACCATTTATCTCAACAGATATTTACTGAATGAAATCATACTGACTTCTTAGATCATATTGCAGAAGAGAATTTCCTGATGGGAAATCTGTCAATCCCAACTCATCTGGAACCTGACCAAGGAGACTAAAATCATAATGGAGATTACCTTAAAGACTGACACGAGTTTTTAAAATTATTTTTTAAAAGATAGTTTTCTTTCATCCCTAGTACTAAAAAAGAGACTTTAATGACTAGCTGGCAGGACATACTGCTGAACTCTCCTTTCAAGCCATGCACAAATTGATCAAAGAGTAAGAAACTGAATTCGGTTCCAACTGCAGCCAGTTCTCCCCAAGTATAATCTGAAGTTAGTTTGCAATAGTTCCTTTCTAGCAATATGAGTTTTATTTTTTAAAGTTCCCTGAATTGTTCCTTATTTTCCTTCCTTGAAATTTTAGTTCAGCATTTACACTTTTTAATATTTTGTGAAATTGGACAGATTTTACTGTATACATTTTAATTGAAGTTCTTTCAATTAACATGGCCTTTGTGTGTTGAGACAGGGTCTCACTCTGTAGTTCAGGGTGGCCTTAAACTTACTATGTAGCCCAGGATGGTCTCGAACTCCCAGTGAACCTTCTCCCTTAGCCTCCGGAGTGCTGGGATTACAGGCTTGAGCCACTCTGCCTGGCTTTAGTGTATTTTTTTTTTTCTTACAGCAATAAGCTTGATTTCCGTTTAGATAACACACAAGCATATTCTGTTAATGTTCATTTTTTTAGATGGGGCCCGTTTCCTTTCAGTTAGTAAAAATTTCAAATCTCTAAATCTACAAATAAAACTTTTCAACATGAAAAACTATTTATTAAATATTAAAGCAATCCCATTATGGGATGTTATCACAAAAACGATGTTAAGTGTAAATTAAGATTTTAACAGGGGCCAGGGATTTAGCTCAGTGGTTCCGGTTCCTGCCTCACAAGTGAAAGGTCCTGAGTTCAATGCAAAATTGAGATATTTCAAAGGAGTAGAAGCAATAAAAATACCAGAGTCTGGCTCAAATATATTCGTTCCACTTAGTTAAAAGTGGAAGTATAATTCATATTTACTATCTCCAAAACATCACTAGGACATCATAAAAATATTAGGAAATCTGTAGCTTTTGTTCAAAGCTCTGCTTTTAATACAAATACTTTGTTCTTTTCAGTGTTTCCTAGAAATCTGAAAGCCACAATAAAATATGGTTTATATTTATGTTTAATAACTGAAGAAGCTGATAGAGAATCTGTTTTAATAATTAAGTTGCACCTAGAAATGTCCCTTTAATCCTGTTTACACAAATACAAAATCATTTATATTTATGCTCCGAGCCTGGCATGGTAGCGCATAGAGCATTCAAGGGTAGCCTGAACTGCACAGTGAGGCCTTGTCTTGTAGGAAAAAAAATCATATATATAATAAAAACCGTATATAAAAATATAAATAATATGTAATATAAAAATATAAATCACATATGTAAAATCACACACATATATAAAATCATATATGTATATGATCGGACTGATGGTCTTTAAAAGTAAATTGCATAGGCTCGGTTCATCCCTTTTAGTTCGTATTAAGAAGCTGAAACTTGCCTTGATATAAAGTTGGAGCATGTGCTCCTACGTCTGTCTTAAAGGGTCTTGGAAACTTAGCACTGGGAGGAAGTAAATCATACACTTTGTACACGCAACGAAACATTTCAGTAGGTACAAGGTCATGTTGGCCAGGGTTGGTCCACGATCCCTTCAGTTAAGCCCACTCCCAGCCGAGAAGCTTTGTGCGTGTGTTGCTCGGGGTTCAACTCAGTGCTTGGAGAAGCGCTCTACCCCTCAACTGAAGCTTCTGGTTCTCAATTACCTTAGGCACAGATTTCGATCTAGGATCTAGGAACTTATCTAATGTTTGGCCACGGGGTGGGGGGTAGTCACCAACTTGGCGGCTGCAGACATTCATCCCACGGCTCCTCTCCCAATCAATTCTATTCGGAATTAAGAATCGCGGCAGAACCAAGACCTCCATCCATTTCAGGTGAGAGGAAGAGGGCGTACGAAAAAAGCTTCAGCGCAGCTAAAAGGCAGCAAACAGCCGCTGCTAAATCTGAAACTGCGGTCTTTCCCTCTTTTTAAGAACCACGGACGGGCCGGGGATTTCGCTCAGTGGTTCCGGCGCCTGCCGCCCAAGCGCAAGGTCGCGAGTTCGATCCCCGGTACCAAAAACATACATACAAACAAAAGAACCAGGAACGCAGTTGTCAGCCCTCAAAGCCAAGAAAGTGAGTCTCGACGCCTGTGGGAAAGGTGACAGGGCGCGTGCTGCGAGGGAATTTCCCACTTCCCTATCAGTTTCCTGACCACTTCCCAGTCAGTTCCCGTATCTCCCGGTCGCGCCCGCCTTACTGGGCCACCCACCGGAAATGAGGCCGGAGGAAACGCCACGTCGAAGGCGTGGGCTGACGTAACCCGCCTACGTCACGCGCCGAACTTCCGGCGATGGGCGGTCCTCGGAGCCCGAGGGAGGCGGGGAGGAGGCGGGGAGGAGGCGGGGCGGGGCGGGGCGGGGCGGGGATTGGGGTGGTGGAGGCTTCGGTGGGTAGGTGGGTTCATACCGGGGGACTACGGGTCGACGTTGGGTTCAGCCGCCTCGAAACAAAGGACTCTCGGGTGGGCTCTCGGCCGGCTTCTCCTGGGTCCCCACGGCCAGCGCCGCAGTGTGGGGCCCGGCCCGGCGGCACCTGCTGCTGAGGGAGCCGGCGGCCCGGTTGGGGGCTCGTGATGGGGCTGATCTTCGCGAAGCTGTGGAGCCTCTTCTGTAACCAGGGTGAGCCGGGGGCAGCTGCCCGGCCCGGCCCGGGCCCGCGAGGACGCCGAGAGCACTCGTTCTGCAGGCCCAGGACCGGGGCGCCGGGCCCTGTGTGGGAGGAAGGAAGCGGACCCGGGGCCGGGCGTCTGGGGCCGCGCGGGCCGGCGGGGCGAGGCCGAGAGCGCACCCCGCCCCGGGGAGTGTCCCCTGAGTGTTCCCCTCCCGCCCGGCTGGGCCCCGAGCCCGAAACTGTCCCGGCCGTGCTGCGTCCGCCTGCCCGCCCGAGCCCGCCCGCGAGCGCCCCTGCACCCTGTCCCGAGGGCGCGTCCGGGTCGGGGCGACGTGCTCTAGGGAGACTGGCGGGCTTCTGGGCATCCGCGTCCTCCTCTCCGGGGCTCGCTCCCCCTTTCTTTTTCAATCACAGGCGTTGAGGAAACTGAGCACTTTCGGTTCGAGTAAGCATTACGTGTCCGCAATTAGTCCCGGACAGGTTAGGAGACACCTGGCAGCTGCCAGTCCAGAGGGCCGCGAAGTTGCGCAACCTGTTCTGATTCAGGATGAGAGATCCAAGGTCTTCTGAAGGGACCGGACGCCCAGGTGAAAAGGGGCCGACAGCCAGGTTATAGGTGTCTGCTACACAACAGTTTCTTAGTCTCTGAAACCAGTTTTCCATCCAGCTAGCTTCTCTTTGCCTGCCACAATGTAGGGAGCATCTTGTGGGATGGTAGTCATTCGTTACTGTTCTTGTATACGATTGTCCTAGACCTAAGAAGTCGTGAAGAGAAGGTAATGGCTTTGTTCACTTGTTCTGTAGATGAACAAGAACAATCAAGTAGTCGCCAGTTTGTAACTGTACATACAGGACAACAAAGTAGATTCGTTTCATACACATATGTGTGTGCTCATCTGTGGTTTCTGTAGGTAAATAGCACTTTTGAAGTGATTTCAGAGTGACCAGATTTTAGCTGCCTGTGGCTGTTATTTATAAATTTAGACATATTATTTTTTTCAACGGTTTGTATTTTCTAATCCTTGCAATGTCATGTAATGTAGTATTTTAACACATCATTAAAATTATTGATGTGATTAATAATTATTTGTTTATTGTTCCCCTAACTTAAATGAAAGTCATCAAAGCATTTGGTTCTCCCAGTGAATCCCATCCCATTCTCCTTTCTTTTCTGTATTATCACCGCTGTTTATCTTTTCTACTCTGATGCTTCCCTCATCAGATTGAAAAGAAGTAAAAAGAGATAAAGGGAAGATACAGAAGATGATGAAAGATAGTCACGGGCTACTTCTTTTACTTTTAGCATTGTTCAGGTTCCCTAAGTCCCCATTTCTCCTTAGAATTTAACTTTCCTCTTGAAAATTTAGAACTATCAGTTTTCCTACCATTTTGTTCTCCCCTTTGTGTAACACTTATTAGTACTGTCGTTCGTGATCTAGTCTTCAGAATTAGGCGTGGGAGGTGCAAAGATTTAAAACGAACAGACAGGTACGTTATTGCTCTCAAAGATTAGTAAAGTAGACCTAGAAAAATTGAGTGAAGTAAATTACTTAACAGACGTTTGTAAAAGTGCGGTGATGGCACAGAGAAGTGATTCCTTTTCTTCAGGTAGTTCTTGGAGATTTTACATAATGAGCCACACGTGGATTTTATGAGGGGTAGGAGTTTAGGTGCCCTGAGGGGAAGGGTCATACTGTGTTAGACCGAGTGCTAATATGCGGAGGAGAGGAACGAGCTAGCTTGGTACCTTTGAGGAAGCAGATAGAAGCTTAGTTTGACTGTACAGTGTCTTAGTTTGCTTGTTGGAGGGTTAGATGAGATGAGATTTTGAGGACAGTTGGGGGACCAGATCCCAGAGGGCCTCAGATGTTGACCAGTACATTAAACTGTACAGAGGAATGAAAGCCATTGAAGAGATTGGTCAGTGATGTTTTTTCAAGAGAATCAGGTGATCAGGCTCATATCTTAGTTTGTTTTTGTTTTCTATACCAGCAGAATCAATTACCAATCTCGGCGTTTTCTGTTCATCACTATACACATCTAATCCAGAGGTTCTCGGTTTTGGTTGAGTTTTGGAATAATATGCCCAGAGCCCCATTTTAAACCAGTTAGATGTGAATGCCAAGATTGTAATGGATGTCAGTGTTAGGGCCACTGGCCTTACCTTATGCATTCCTTTCCCTATCTCTTATGTTTCTTTCATCAGTGCGTCTTTTTTGGTTTTTTTTAAGTGAGTTACCTTTCTGGAATAAGTGTACTAAAACCTGTATTGCCTGAGTGAAGAATTTGAAAATACATAATTAACCCCTGCAATATTGTATTTTTTGTGTGTGTTTTTTTCGGGGTTTTTTTGGTACCAGGGATCGAACTCGGGTCCTTGCAAAATCAAGATCTTTTTTAGCACATTTTTTTTTTTGGTACTGGGGATCGAACTCAGGTCCTTGCACTTGCAGGGCAGGCAGCAAACCACTGAGCTAAATCCCTGGCCCTGTATTGTTTAATTTGAAGGCAGAAGGGTAATTACTTTGCCACAGTTATCATTGAAGGAAATAATTCCCAAATCTAAATATCTTTCCAAACATTCTTTTATATGTCAGTGGTTATGTATGTATGATTTTACAAAACACATACTTGAGGGTGTATTTGGTAGCTTTAAACTCATCTCTAAAGTTTGGCATTTTAAAAAAATTTCTTTTGTAACATTCATAGGGATAGTCTTTTTTTTCTTTCTGTGTTGTGACTATATACAGTGGGCATCTGTTTCTTCTAATGTTAACCAGAAAGGCAAAAGAAATAAAGGTTTTTTTTTGTGGTACTGGGGATTGAACTCAGGACCTTGCACTTGCCGGGCAGACACGGAACCACTGAGCTACATCCCCAGCCCCATAAAGTTTTAATTGTAGTTCACTTTCATAACCACGTAATAATAATAACATCTTTATATCATTGTCTAATTTTTTTCTCATTGGTTAATTTCATGTTTATCATTCTGAGCACTGGTACTTAACTTCCTATGAAAGTGTTACCATTCATTTCTTACCGCTCAGGCAGTGTGTCTTATATTTTCCCTCTTAGCTTATTCTCTCCTTAGTTGCTGGACGTTTTACTGGTTTCAAGCACGTTAAACTTAACCTTACCATCTGTCTGCTCCGTGTCTTCTAGGACATTCTGTATCCATACCTTTGCGAGGTCCAGTCCATCAGTGCATTCAGATTTCTCGTCACACCCTATTCCTCGGAGGCTTTCTTGACCAGTTTTTCAGAAGTAGCCTCTTCCTACTCTCGCTTTCAGTCTCTGTCTCTTTACTGTTCTTTGAGCAATGTTGGTTATTCCTTATAATTATATTTTACATTTGATGTTTATTTCTTCCAGTGGAAATAAACTCCTCAATACATGAACTTTGTGTCACTCACAGTTATATTCCAAGTACTTTGGTACTTTTTGTCAATTTCCTAGTTTGCTTTATTTAACCATAAAACTTTATATCAAAATAATACATATACATAGATAAAAAGTAAAACAGTGCTAAAGTCTTGAAATGCTATGAATCAGTTACATCTCTTTAAATGCTGAACTCTTTTCCCATTATCACATACTTAACATATTTCTTAATACTGGAGATTGTAAACATTTTATGTCTTCTTGTGATGGAAGAGAAAGTGCTATAATTTATGCCTGTTACCCTTTCTTCATTATCCTAATATAAGTTTGATTTAATCTGGGCTCTTTCCATTATTATGCCCGTAAAGTTTTGTTATCACTACTCCATGATGTAATACTTTGCTTTTCTCCATTTTCCCCCTAGAGTAAAATACTTACGACATCATGTTAGTTTTCTTTGTACATTTGATGAAGAGATTTCACAGTATCCCAAAGCCTTTCCCTAACAGTTTTTCCCGCCTTGCACCTGAAGGATTTGTTTGTCTTTCCTCTTTACACCCTTGTCTTCTGTCTTGCTGTGAACCCGACGTAGCTCTCAGTGCCCTGCACACAGTTGTTCTTGGTCTGGGAATTTCCTATGCCTTTTAGTTTTAGTAAGCCACGCTGTCCTCCTTCTTTGCATTTAACTTTGGTGAAGCACATCCTTTAGAAGTTTCCTGTAAATGTATTCGTTAGTGGTAAACTTTTTGAAATTCCAAATGTCTGAAAATGCATTGGTTTGTCCTCACTTTTGACTTAAGTTGGGGCTACACAATTGTGAGTTGGAAGACGTTTCTTTCAGAATTTTGAAGAGCCTTTTTTAACCTCCACCTTGCAGTGTTTGTGGAGAAGGCCTATATCATTCCTGATTGTTTCTCTTCTTTCCAGTAGTTTTTAGAATTTTCTGTTTATCCCTGGAATTTTAAAATTTCACAGGGTGTACCTTGTTGTGTCTTTTTTCATGAATGTTCGTGAGTTCTAGACCTTTTCAGTTTAAAGATGTACGTCTTTTTTTAGTTCTAGGAAATTTTTTAAATTCTCATACAGTTTTTTTCTACTTTCCTGAAAATACTATTGTGCTAAATTGTCTATTAAATACTTTCTTTTCTAATGTATCCTAGTGTATTGTCTTTTTTTTTCTTTTTTTACTGTAGCTTTACCTTCCAGTCTTCCCATTGCCTATTTTGGTTCAGGTAGTGTATTTTTCAGTTGGTATTATTTTATAAATGCTGTCTTCTCTCCGGTTTCTTTACAGTTTTCTAATGTTGTCCCTGTGTCTCTCTGGGTTTTTTGTTTTTTGAGACAGGGTCTCTCTGTGTTCAGACTGGGCTTGAGGGGGCTTCAACATGCCTGAATGGAGGAAGAGTCACGTTGGAGAGACTCAGAAAATCAGCTAAAAACCTAGAGTGGCCTTTGAACTAACTCCTGGGGCTCCTCCTGTATCAGCCTTCCAAGTACTTGGGATTACAGGCCTCTGCTGCCACGCCTGCCACCATGCCAGCTCTTCTGTATCTCTTTGAATTAGCCTTTCACATAAGAAGCTTTCTTCATAGCCCTCTTGTAATGCCATTGCATGAGTATACTGCTGTTCTGTTTAATCGTTTACATCTTGATAGGTTATAATACTATTTACTCCCTTCTTACTTTCTATAGACACACTTTTCATTCTCTAAAAATGACTATACTATACCAATACAATTTCTAGCATAGAATATATTGCTAGTTGTATTTTTTAAAAACCACTAGGTTATTGTTGAAGGGTATTAGACCATCTTTGTGTATAATCTCACCAGCAGTTTTTGTAAGATTTCCGCTTGTTCCACATTCTTACCCACACTGGGTGTTACCGGTCTTCCTAATTTAGGCGTTCTGTTGGGTGTGTATCGCATAATAGCTGTAATTTATATTTTTCTGGTGACGATAGGATGTGCTGATTTTCACGTTCTTACTTGCCTTTTATTTCTCTTCGAAAACAATTCAAATCCTTTGCCCACTTTAAAAACAAAATTGTCTTTTGCGAAATTATTAACATGCGGTACTCTGAAACCGAGTCTGTCAGGTGCATGTTTAGGGTTTGCCCCAGTCTCCGCCCCTCCCGCAGTGGCCCCAGTGCTAGGAACTGAGTGCTCAGCAACTGCTCTCCCACTTGCCTGGTGCAGGGTGACAG